ACATTTAAACTCCCTCAATAATTAATAGTTAACAAAAATGATCAAAAACCACTCTTATGCAAGCCCTTAGCACACAACGTGTTCATTCCAAGCTCAATCACTTACCTAACGCTTCAACAATGTCTAATCCTAGTGATTACTGCTTCCGAGGTGGAAGGTTGCTAAACTTTCATTGAGGTCATTTCAGATGACCTGCATGGAATAACTTCAGCAGCTCTGGGCAGTGAGGGCCTGATTACAAACTGCTACACCTTGGCATGGGCATCGGCTGCATGGTCTCATTGATTGTGTGCCAACCAAAAAGAGCACTATAGAGTGCACTGCAGGGATCATGCAGGTCATCATCCCAGAGAGAGGATTACATGTTCCTGCCCCTTCAAACTATGGCCACTTTCCTGAAACTGTATGTCAGCACTCGAAGCTCTGTGCAGGAACAGAGTGTAGGTGCCATGTGACATTCTGGAAAACCCCTGGAAATACTGGCCCTCGTACCAAGGTTACAGATGTTTAAGCATCTATGGGTGGCAGTGTTAGCTGGAGGAGAACACTTCGGGTCACGTTGGACAGAATGGTCACCATGGTTTGCAGAAACAAGCTGGAGCCACTGAGTGAACATTTGCTAACAGGGCATCCAGTAAATGTAGTGTACACCCAGTTTGCGGCTAACCTCAAACAGTGCCCTACAGCAGAGCCAGTATATCATCTCTCCCTCCAGCTTCCTGGTATCTCTGGCATCCTTTGTCAAGCACCCACTTATTTGTGGCTGTAATTCATCCCGGGAAGATCCCTTTTCTAATTTCCAAGCTACCCATAGTGCCAGTCTCTCAGCTCGTACCTCCTAAAGTCTGATCAAATCGTAGAATCACATATTACCGTAAAGGCCCTTTCCTCATCAAGTCTGCACTGCCAAAAATATATTACGCCCTATGCTAGTCTCACTTTCCCAGACTAGACCCATAGCCTTGAATATTATGACACTTCACGTGCTCATCCAGGCAGTTTTTAAAGGTTGTGAGGTTTCCCACATCAATTACCTTCCCGGGTAGTGCATTCCAGACCCCACACCATTTAGGTGAAAAAGCTTTTCCTCAGATCCCCTGTAAACTTCCCGACTTTCACTTTAAAATTTAAAATTGCTATTGACCGTTCAGTTAAGGGAACAGCTACTTTCTATTCATCCTGTCCATGCCCTTCATAATCTTAGCCACCTCTATCAGGTTCCCCCTCAACCTTCTCTGCTCCAAAGAAAACAACCCGAGCTTATCCAGCCTCTCTTCATCACTGAAATGCTCCATTCCAGGTAACTTCCTGGTGATCAGGTATGATTACATCTTCAGGAAGGCTTAAGCATTTTAAGTAAGCATATTTAGCTTCGTAAAACTCACAGGAGGAGGCGATTCAAAGTATGTCCACATTTTAAACCAAGGAAAAGGACAAGGGCCACACAGCTAAAGCATGTGCTCAATCAGATCAACTTGTTGCACAGGGGAAAATGGGAGGTAGCAGCTTACTTCTAACACCAAGGTGAAGTCTAAGGACAATTTTTTATAATTGCCAGATCTCTGGTGCAAAGATTGTTCTTTGTATAATTTCCTGCTTTAAAAACTGCCTAATGGAATTTCTGAGTCTTAAAGTTTCTGTCAAACTCCCTTTTGTTCAAGACAGAGCTTCCTTAAAGGTCAGATATTTTATTATGAATTATTGTGGAAAGTTTGAATTCAACAGGTCACCATCAGTCTTATCTGCAATAGCCTCCATAAGACAATAACTTACTTCCACTCATTGTCACATCCTCTCATATCAGAGATTTTGGATTTACTGAGGAGTTGTCACTCCTCCAAAGCCCCCAGTGAAATTGATCCTCAGCACAGTCATCACCTTCTGGATTGAAGTGGACAAAAATTGCAAAGAAATAATTTGGGAACTAAACCAGAAATGTATAATCGTCCATGAAATGTCAAGGTGATTTCTATGAAGATGTACTGAATACCGATGGAATCTGCAATTTGCAAGAACCTTAACGTAGGCTAAAAGCTATATCATCCTCAGAATTAAAGCAAACAGAAATGTCACCACCCAAGATGTACGCTATTGATGTCTGTCATTCCTCAAACAATGCACACTTTGATAGTGAATTCTATTTTTCCGTGATTAGATGGAAAACGTACTTAACAATGAAGCTGCACTGTGTGACATGCCTCTGCAGGCAGCTTGCTAAGAAGGAACATACAGTTTTTGGCAGCATGCTTTGCCTGTTTTAGTGAACACCCCTTCTTTGGGGAGTGGCCTTTTATACTTAGCAACATAAAATCAATTCCAAGAAATGACTTGGACCTGGTGTACAGGGTACCATTTCAAAACTTTGCAGATGATATAAAACTCAGAGGCATTGTGAACCGTGAAGAAATTTAGACTTTCCAAAGTATGTTGATTGGTTGGTGGAATGGAAGTACAAGTGATTAAATTTAAGGCAGAGAATTGTGAAGTGCTTCATTTTGGAAAGAAGAACACAGCAACAATATAAAACACATGGTATAATTCTAAAGGCAGTTCAGGAAGAATGGGATCTGGTGTGTATTTGCACAACTCAAAAAAGTGGCAGCACAGGTTGCAAGAGCAATTGAAAAAGCATACAGTATCCTAAGCTTTATTAAGACAGGCAATGAGTATAAAAGCAAGGAATTCATGTTAATCTTGTAAAACAAACAGTGGTTTGACCATAATCGGAGTGTTGCATCCTGTTCTGCATGCTACACTTTAGGAAGCATGTGAAGGCATTAAAGAGTTTGCATAAAAGATTCATGACAATGATTGTAGGGATAAGGGACTGAAGTTATATAAACAATTCGGAGAACGTAGCTCTCTTCTCCTCAGTGAAAGTTGAGAAATTTGATCAATTGTGAGGGATCAGTACAGAGCAGTTAATTACAAACTGTTTCTATTGGTGGCAAGTCTGAGAACCAGAGGGTACAGGTTTAAGGTAATTAACAAAAGAAGCAGTCGTGGTACGAGGACAAATATTTTCCACACATTGAGACATTCAGAGCTGGAAAGCTGAGAGTGTGATGGAGGTAGGTTCAATCAAGGCATTCAAGAAGGGATTGGATTATTGGCCAGCTTCTCCAGTGAGTAGCAATCCCAAGACAACTGTCACTCTGGTCCTTCTTGTTTTATGAAAGAAGAGAGCTCTGCTTTCCTGAGAAGAGATTCTGTTCAGAATTCCCTAATAAGTGCAGTACTCTACATCCATTCTGATAAAACTATCAGAGGAAGGCAAACCGCGTCCCCCTGCTCACAGCTGTTACATTCTGAAATGTAAAGGCCCTGACAGCCACTGTGACAGCAAACTGTAACTGTATGAGGGAAGTGTGAGGTTAAGGTGCTGGAAAGGTAGAGTGCTAGATGAAAGGTACCAGGTAGGTAGGGTGCCAGGTGGATAGGATGCCAACTGCAAATGGTGTCAGCTGGGGAGGGGTTAGGCTGCCAACTGAGTCGGAAGCCAGCAGGGGTGGGGGGTAGGGTGCCAGGTGGTAAGATGGCACAGAAATAGATGGGAAAGTAAATTGCAGTAAAGAAGAAAGAATTTTACGAATGGAAATGACTAGGTTAGGTGAATAGGCCAAAATTTGGCAGATAGAATTTAACATGGAAAAGTGTGAGGTTATCTATTTTGGTCAGAAAAATAGAAACACAACTTATTATCCAAATGGAGAGCAACTTCAGGGTGCTTCAGTGCAGAGGGATCTGGGTGTCCTCTTAATACACAGTTACAGCAGCTAATAAAGGAGGTGAATGGAATTTTAGAATTTACTGGTAAAGGAACAGAATGTAAAAGTAGGGAAATGTTGCTGCAGTTGTACAAAGCATTAGCAAGATTGCACCTGGATTACTGCATACAATTTTGGTTCCGTTACTTGAGGAAGGGTGTTATTGGAAGCAGTTCAGAGGAGATTCACTAGATTGATTAAGTTGAGAGGGTGGAATGGTGAGGGGGTTGGGGGGAATGCTGCTTGAGGCTCCTGGCCCTATGGCAGTGGAGGAAATGAGTTTGGGTGATGGCTGCTACAGGGTGGGTGCTAGCAGTTGAGTCTGTTCCAGCAGCAATGGCAGGGTTCAGGTTCTGGGGTTGGAAGACACAGGGCAGTGTCAGGTCCTGGGTGGGAGGGCGTTGGGTTAGGATCTGAGGTTACGAAGGGTTGTGAGTGAGGTCTGAGGCTGGCTTAACAGTTACTTAGAGTCAAAATCTGTATCAAATAGTCTAACATTTCCTGAGTCACTATTTTACTTAATTTCATTGCAGCCATCTGAAGTCTCCAATTTTCATGGCGACATTCAGAGGGTTTGAGGTTTAGAGGAACTACCCAATGGAAAATTCAGTTTCCCTGACAATGGGCTCAGATTGTCCGTTGATGGGAATTCTCAAAATCCCCACGCACAACTCTCATCTACTCTGGAATAACGAGTGTCTAGTCAGCGGAAAGTCTGCACCACTATCTGTAAGAAACAATGTGCAGAGCCAAGGAAGAAGACAGGTCTGTAGTGCTAAGTGAATTGTTCATACAGAAGGCCAGCACAGACATGACATCATCATATGATCTCCATCTGGGCTGCAACAATTCTGTGAAATTGAAAATTATGCTATTTTTTAGGACTCACCAACAGTGCAAACAATTACACACTGAAGAACCTGTAGTAAAACCAAAGAAGGCAAACATTTTTAATTGGAATTAATTACTTTCCAAAAGATCATTTTCATTTTGCTCATTTCCAAACCATTTTCCAATATGTATTAATTTGTCATGTTATTGCGTTACGTGTGCACGTAATTTAAACCCTATTAAATGAACCTTCTTCCTCCTGATGATGTGAACATTTGCATTGGGAACCTGAGGCTGCTGTGTTGAAGGTGGGGGGTGGGGTGGTGTCAGCATGACACATTTACTCAAATTAATATTAATTTAAGAATAAAAGTAACGTTGAAAAGCCAATGAAGCAGATACCTTGGAATAATCAAATCCATGCTTCTCCTTAAAGCCGTTCCGACTGAGGGTGTAGTTATAAAAACGGGAATTCTTTATAAGTCCAACCCACTCTCGCCAGCCTGGTGGGATGTAGCTGCCATTATATTCATTGAGGTATTTCCCAAAGAATGCTGGAGGAGAATAACATGAAGATCAGTTCAAGAGTACACCTTCAATTCAAAATGATCTAAATAAGAGCTGTACCATATGTTTCACTTCCCTGTTTTTGCTTTGCCCATTGTGGGATAATTATTGGCATTTCTCAGCCAGAATTCATGCAATTCTCAGTGTTAATATTTCGGGTCCGGTGACCCTTCGTCAGAACCCGAAACGTTAACTCTGTTTTTTCCTTCACAGGTGCTGCCAGACCTGCTGAGCTTTTCCCGCAACTTTGTTTTTGTTCATGATTTACAGCATCCTCAGTTCTTTCGCTTTTTATTTATGCAGTTCTTAGTGTTCTACGGGACTCTGGAAGGTGTTGAAGGCTGGACATCCGTATAGAAGCCAGCAAAACTAGACCATGATTTGGCCAATGATGACTGGGTGAGCTCTACTGCAGTAACACTACACACCGTACCAAAGTTACCAGTCTCTTGATCCATCTGAATCTTTCAGTCTTTCCCATTTGATTGCACGGCTTCAGGAAGAAGCAAGTTCAAATAAATAACTGCACAAGATAACCAAGGTTGTGAAGGTGTAAAAATTTTTAAAGTTATAAGATCAGATGTTTTGGACTGAGTCTTTAAACTTATGTTAAAACAAAGGTGGTCATGTGACTATTCCAACTGTTCCCTGACACAAGCTTGACCTGGTCAAAGGATCTGATGAGCAAATTGTCAGGTTCTCAAACCTGGGAATAAAGAGCAAGGATAGCTATGTTAACAGTAAACAGATTTTCTGGCTGCAAGCATTTGGGGCAGAAGAGCAAAGAGAAAGAGGGATCAAAACAGCGGACTGAAGCTGGAAGGAGGATAATGGCTTCCAGTTGAACAGATGTGTTGAGAAGCCAACTGGAAACAACAAATGCTGGAGATGACAGCAGGTCAGGCAGCATCCATGGAGAGACAGCAAGCTAAAGTTTCAAGACTAGATGCTGAAACATTAGTTTTCTCTCTCTCTGTGATGCTGCCTGACCCACTGCATTTGTTGCTTTCAGTACAGATTCCAGCATCTGCAGTAATTTGCTCCTACATCGTGTTGAGAATCTAGGAATCTGATACAGTTGTCCAGGAGGGAAGAAGAATCATCAGTACATGCATTACTGCTGACAGTGGATTTGGAAAACTCTTTGAAAACTGATGGAAATGCTGGAAGATGGTCACTTGAAGTTACTATTCAGTGAAACAGGAAAACAGGAACCAGCAGCAAGCTGGAAGCAATTGTGAACGTTTGAATGAGGATGTTTCCCCTCACTGGAGAGGTTAGGACCAGAAGGCAGTCTCAGAATAAAAGGCTGTGAACTTAAGCCAGAAGTGAGGAGTTGTGAGACTTTAGAACTCCTTGCCACAGAGAGCTACGGAGGTCAGATTCCTTTGCGTATATTGAAGTCTGAGACAGATAGATTCTTGATCAACAGGGGAATCAAGGAAAACTTGAAAAATGCAGAAAAGTGGATGTAAGGAGTGTTGGATCAGTCATGATCCTATTGAATGGTGGAGCAGGCTCGAGAGGCCGAAAAGCCTGTATCTGTTCCTATTTCATATGGCTTTATGGTAATGGTTTGCTGTGAGGTCTGCAATTCTGTGGACAGTGCATTGTGTGAAAGAGTTGTAAGTAGAAAAGAGCTCCTTTTTAGATAGTGTCTTTAGTCATTTACAGTAAAAATCTTACGACATTAAATCTTATTGGGTCATCATTTTCAGCTATTAAGCGGAAGTTTAAACTATCGGTTCCAATTATTAAACTTCATATTTCTACTTCCCAATATTTCTTAATGATCTCCTTTATGACTGACATTTCGATGAAAGATGCTTTGTTTAACTTGGATGTAAGGGAATTAAAGATGACAAGGGATATTCAGCCTCGAGGTAATGGACTATAAAGTGATTTAAAAATTCAATCCACATAAAGTAGCCTAGATGTCTGATTCATTACACATTGAACAGGTTCTTCACTGCTGGATGTCTCGTTATTTTGAAGGAAGCAGAGTCAAAAAATTAAGTGACTGCCACCAAAAGGGTAAGTGTATTTTAAAAAGATTCATGTCGAGTGAATGGGACTGGGAAAGCTGATTCAACTTGCACAGCCCTCCTGATGGCTACTATCAGTTACAATCATTCTCTCACTTGCTGTCCTTTCCCCAGTTTCTAGCACATCCCTGAGGACCTTACTCAATGAGGCAAATGACCCATCCTGCATTTCAGAGATGGGCAAACTGCCTGCAAATGAACAGTAAGTGCCAGCAACTCATCTAGTTTAATGAAATGTGACCCAAAACTCCATTTCAGAGCAGCATGGGCCTTGCATTGGGGAGCACACTGAATTCACAGCACCAAAGCTTGCTGCATTGAGTGTAGAACTACTGCGAACAAATTTTGATACCTAAGAAAGCTCTATTGAACTTCTCTGAATCACTTTGACAAAACCTTCCTCTCTCATGACTTCTGTCACTGAGAAGCAGAGAACAGCATTATTTGGGAAACACCAACTCATTCAAATTGCTCTTGAAGGCATATGGCATGTTGATTCAAACATTTATTCTGATTCCTTTATTGTCACTCAATCCTAATCCCAATATTCCCCAAAACAATTGCTGCATCACTGCCTGCATTAATTCAAGAAACAGGGCCACCTTCTCACATCAGTGAGGAATTGGTTGATAGGTGCAACATTCTCCACTTCTTGAGAACAAATACATTTTCTTGGCTCAGCCATACAGCAGCCAGACACTATACAGCAATCCTGGAAAATAATGACATCAGTATATAATGCTCTCTAGATTATGCATTGTTAAAATGAAACATTTTTGGAATTCAATTCCCTTTCTGCTCTGTCTTTAGTATACTGCCATATGGTTGCATAATTTGCCATTTTCATGATTTTGTTGTAGTTATTAATGAATTCAAAAAGTATAGATTGAATTGGTGTGAGCTCATTAACCGGTGTGACAGAAATTAGAATCATAAAATCCACTGAGCATCCCACCAACCTGTCCCCTCCCCCTATCCCCGTGAACCTGCATTTACCATGACTGATCCACCTAGATTGCACATGCCTGGAACACTGTGGACAATTTCCCATAGCCTATTCACCTAACCTGCATATTTTTGCACTGTGGGAGAAAAGGGAGCACTCTTGCAGAGAGAGGAAATTCAATCTACCTGTTAAAAGTAATCTTGTAAAGGAATATTATTTACATATAACATATAAATAAAAATATATTAATTCCAGGGATTCTTGTGTTACTAAGTAAGTGGAACATTATGATAAGTGAATCCCCCAGCACCTCAAATTTCTTATCTTAGTGCAAAAACTTCCCAAATTCACCCAGTTAAATGGCTGAGATTTCAGCTAGATCAGTACCTGGGAATCTAACAATTCAACACCTTTCATCTAAAAATATTATTAAAGCAAAATTTCACAAAGGCATGGTGGCAGTTTAAGCAGTCCTCAAGAAGAAATAAAAAGGTGGTGGAAACAGGCAAATTTTGTGATGTGCACATGTGGCAGTGAACCTCAAGGCTGCAGGTTTTCCCATCAGAGGTTGTAGGTAATGGAAAATAGGGAACATATTCCTGAGGGTCTCTAGAGACGATTGTGCATGAGTGAAACACATCGGTGAAGATTCAATTGGATATCCAGAAGCACTCAAAAAGGATGAAAAGATTGTTCATTGAAAGGCTTTAGATTAAGGACGACTGGTAAAAAAAATTTACATTATAATTACAGGGAATATTGACTGCACTTTTTATTTAGATACGTTTCAGAGTGGAAATCTAATTGGAGGGATTCAAATGAACATTGTCAGAGATATGAGTGCTGAAACAGATTCGAAGATTTAGTTTGGAACTTAATGCCCACCTACAGGCCTAATCCTGCTGCCATTAGTATTGAACCACAGGCAGTTGAAGGACAGGCCAAATGGGAAGTGTGAAAAGCAAACATGAACAGGATTGTTGCAAATTCCTTGAATAGGTATCTCATTCAAAGGCACTCAGTGTCTGGTTCAGGTCCCCAGTAATAGAAGGAAGGGGCCCAGGAGAAATTATCCATCTAGCCTTGTTCAGGGCACCAGTAGCTAGGCCAGCATTCGTTGCCTGTCCCTAACTATTCTTGCAAAGATGGTAATGAGCTGCCTTCATGAACTGTTGCAATATGTGGAGGGTATATACTCCCATCGTAACCTTAGGAAGGGAGTTGCAGGTTTTTAACCCAGTGACAGTGAAGGAACTGTGTTATAGTTTCAAGTCAGGATGGTGTGTGGCTAGGAAAAGAACATAGTTCCCATGTATCTGCTACTCTTCTCTTTATAGGTGGTAGAGGCTGTGGGTTTAGAAGGTGCTGTCTAAGGAGCCTTGGTGAATTGCTTTAGTGCACCTTGAAGATGTTACACACTATTGTAACTGTGCATTGATGGTGGAGGGAGTGAATGCTACATATTGTGGACAGAGTACAAAATTATTTGCACACAAACAATGAGACTGGTGTCCATATGGGGACACATGAGAGAAAGTGACAGAGATGAGGACAGCCACAGAGGATGTGAGAGAAATTCAGTAAGAGTGGTAGCATCTGTATTGAGAGAAACAGAGTTAATATTTTGAATCCCATGTGATTCTTCCTCACAAATCTTTCTTTTTTGGAACAGTTCTGAAGATGAGTCATACTGGACTCGAACCTTAACTCTGTTATTATGTTTCTCCCCAAATGCTGTCATTCAGCGTTCTCTGAATTTGTTTCAGATTTCCAGCATCCGCAAGATTTTATTTTAATATGATGGCAGCCGTGGTAGTCTGGAATCACGTAAATTTAGTATATTGGAAAGGGAGGGAATCACGGAATCTAGGGAGGAATTCAAGGATCGTGTTTTCAAGGGCAGGTGGGGAGGAACAAGGGGTGTCTTATGAATCTGGTGGGGTCACACCTAGTGCGCACAGGGCATTTTCAAACGACATAGGTCCCCCTTACATCCTTCATTTTCCACAAAATTGTTTCTAAAACAGCCTTTGAACTTCCACCATCTGTCCATGCCAACTGTATGATGGTGTAGACAGCATAATATTCATGTCAAAGGGTCAACGGACCTGAAACGTTAACTCTGTTTTCTCCTTCACAGATGCTGCCAGACCTGCTGAGCTTTTCCAGCAACTTTGTTTTTGTTCTTAATATTCATGTCAATTGGCTTTGTAGTAAGTTCACTTGCCCATTAGTTATTTATTTAAAAAAGGTGGAAGGGGTGCTGATGAGCTAGTGGGGCTAGTCACCTGTAATAGTTTCTATGACCCCCAACCCCCCAACTGCAATCCCCTGCTGAAAACACACCCTGCAGGGGACTGTTTAAATCCAGCCCACTAACACTGAAGGGAACTTTGCAGCATTCCTTACAATACCAAGAGCCTTGGTTAATGTGAGCGTTTGGAATATTACATGGAGCTCTTTTTCCCTTTTTTAGAGAGTTCCCATCAGATTTTGCTGAATCTTACTAACACTACTTTAACACAAATAATCCTTTACAATGAAGTTTCTTTGTGTGTTGTCAAGTTAATTTCTTTGGACTGCCCTTCACAGATCCCCAACTGTGCTAGCACACGCTAAATGAGCTCTAACCAGTCTGCAGTATGCTAATTGCTTCACTTCTTTTGTTCTCTGGTAAATGTTCCCTTCGTATAAATCCCAAAGTTCTATTAACTTTACAGTTAATACCACCAATATTACTTTTCTATGCCAACCCCTGTAATGCTTCAACGCCTAAATCTGGGTGGTGTATAATGGGTGCCGTAACACCATGCTATTAAAAATTCATGGGAAAATACTTCTGGTCTCTTTTATATCTCAAATTCTTTCTCAGATTAAAATTCATTAGTTCGTGTCAGTTTGTGTGTCATTCATCTTTAGCAAAAACTATTAAGCATATCCTTTTGACTAAAAAAAACTTTTACATCATTTTAATCCCAATTTCAAACAGAAAATTATCTATAGATTTCCCTCCTTATCATCTCAAATATAAAGGGGGATACCTAGACACTGTTCTTAGCTGGACTCCTATATCTCAAGTGCAGAAGAGACAGGTTAGATGGTGCTTCTCCGATCTGCACACATTTCTGTAGGTCTGGGGCCTTCTGGGATTATCTTGGGAATCTTATCATCTGTGTTGCAGATAGGGTTAGGGTGAGGGTTATGATTAGCGTTAATATCTACAAGTTCTGTTCTGGATCCCATCAGACTAGGACTGAATAGTATTGTTTGATCCAAGCCTGGACCAGGATGGGAGCCAATGTTCTAGCTATAAGTGCCTGCTGCTTAATCATGCATGTATTTCTCTATTCTGCTACTGTTGGCTGGTCCCAACACATTTTATTAATAAGCTTCCCTAAATATTTGAGACAGGGTCATAGAGAGGCTAATGTCAGTGTCAGAATTTCAATGTTGATGAGATTCAAATATTGCAGTCAAAATTCAATGCTTGTGAATACTATTGTCGCTCTGAGGAATTAAAAGACACTTTTCCCCTGTAAATATATAACTTCATTCTATCACAGCTGTTTAGTACATTTTAACATATTTTCCTGTTATTTTCAACTAAAACCAGAGAGTGCTTTGATGTCCTGGTTTTAAAGAGTGAAGTGATACCATAGAGTACAAGAAAGTTCAGTACCTAAGTAGCAAATTCCAAATGCGAGTCACGGTACTTTTTTATAAATCTGTTGCTAAAAGCCTACCTTAAGGCATGAGGAGTTTTAGATTCACCAAATGAGGGATCTGAGATGTGAGGGCTATAATGAACCAGGGTGGAAGATTTGATACGGTTTAAAATTATATTAGGAGCATAAAACAAGATAAGCTGAATAATTCTACTTTGGGGGTTGGTGTCTAAAAATAGAGAAGTCTTGTTACACTAGTACATGGTGTTGGTAAGCCACACCTGGAATACTGTGTATAGTTTGGGCCCCTGTCTTTAAGAAAGGACATATTGGTATTGGAGTTATTCAAAAAAGATTCACTATGCTGATTCCTGTGATGAAGGGGCTGACTTAGCAAAAACAGCTAAACAGGTTAAGCATTTATTCATTCAGGGTTAGCAGAATGAGGGGTGACCCTATTCAAACATATAAGATTCTGAAGGGGCTTGACAGTGAGGAGATGTTTCTACGAGTGGGGGAATCTCAAATTCAGGATCACTGTTACAGAATTAATCATTTAAAACTGAGGTGCAAAGGAATTTCTTCTCTCAGAGGGTAGTGAATTCTGTACACCGGGTTGTGGAGGCTAGATCACTGAAAGCATTTAAAGCAGAGGTTGATGGACTTTTTTCAACATTGAGGAGTTGATGGCTATGAGGAGCTGGCACGATAAAGGAATTGAGGCCTGGGGCAGATCAGCCACGATCTTACAGATTGGCAGGGCAAGTTTGAGAGGCTGAATGGCTTACTCCTGCTCTTGTTTCATACGTTATTATGTTCCTGCCACTAAGCTACTCTGCCTGGAATCCCGTGGACATGCAATAAACCTGGATAAGGATTGGTCACAGTGAATATGCTAGTTATATGACACTTCAATTCAATGTAAGTATGAATTTACCTCATTTGATAGCTCATAATCTTCCCCTTGATACCAACAACTTTAGAATAATTCTAAAACGTTGTTAAACATTATTTATTCCATTTCTTTACTTAAATAAATGGTGCACTCAACACAGGTAAATACATTATCTGTTTTCAGCACTAAATATATGAAATAGCAATAAGCAGATGCTGTCAACTAGCAGAACACCGGTGATATTACAGACCTGTTCGGTAGCCTGTGTTGTTTAGAAACACAGCGAATGTGCGTGTTTCATGCGTAGCCTGCCACGAAGGTGAGGAGCAATTCTCATTGTTTGTGTACGTATTGTGATTGTGGACATACTTTCCTGTCAGCATGGAAGATCGTGATGGACAGCACATTGGAGTGGTTACAAAGGCATTGGTGAAATGAGCACCACCTTGCTCCATGAGTCTTCTGGTTTTGTTCATCACCTGAAGGGAACCTGAAAATGTAATAGTAGGAACAAGAATAATAAGAAGAATCCAGTGCTTACAAATTGGCTAGCATAACCATTCAGTTGATTACAGTATCTATTTGATTGTAATGTATATAAATACTCAGAAAAATAAAACAATTCAAGATGAGAACAAAGAAAAGGAAACTCTCAGAAATTAGCAGTTGTAGAAAGGGAAACAGAGTTGACAGTTCAGGTCATTGATCTTTCATCAGAGCTGGGAAAAATGGAATAGACTTTAAGCAAATAAAAAGGGAGAGCGTGGAAAAGAAGAAGAAAAAGGAAGTTAAATAAAAACTAAAGATACTGGAAATCAAAAACAAAAACAGAAATTGCCGGGAGAAAAGATAGGAGACATTAAATGACAAAAGGGTTGATGGTGCTGGGCCAAAGACAGTGACAATGGGACAACTGAAGAAACAAAAAGATCTGTCTAAACAGGTGTGAATGATAGAAGAGTGACCAGCTGCCATTTAAAAGCAAAAAGCAAGAGCAAAACAGAAACCTGCATGGAACAAAATAGGGGATTACAGTATTAAATTGTTGAACTCAATGTCAAGCCTGGAAGGCTGTCTAATCAAAAGATTAAGTGCTGTTCCTTGTGTTTAAGTTGAACCTCATGAGAATACTGTAAGAGGTTGAGGACAGAGGAATCAATGTGAGGGCAAGTGGAGAATTTAATCAGCTCATCCAAATGCACTGAGTCTGCAACCCCAGTTCCTTTTTCTAGAAGAATCCGACGTTCCCTCTGTTACTGAGCATCACAACAACATCTTGGTCACAATGCTGAAATACTACCATAACCAAACAAAGTATTCCAAAGCAAATTTAGCAACCAAACTATCCAATATGTAACACCAAGTTCACTAATCATCCATGTGCATTTTTTTGGTGCCTGTTTTCTGTGCTTGTTCCAGTGCTCTGACACACCGTTATAAAGTGGCTGCTGGAGGAAGGCTGCTGACTTTCAGCGCAGGAGGTTGGAGATGACCTTGCAGGTCTATCTTTGAAACATACTATCTTGAAATGTACAGTGCAGGACTCGGGGCTGGGCAACAGCAAAAGCACAGGCAGGGTTGCAATGTTGGCAGCATAAATGCTGTCATCCTCAGAGAGAACAGCAGCTTTGTTTTCATGCAACCACTGACGCTCCACTAGGTCTCTCAAGATTTTGAGGAATATGCTGAAAGACTCCTGCATGTCTCTTAAAGACTGGCAATTGCAGCCATGATGAATTGTGGCAGCAAGCTGAGGTTGCATGAACTTCCACTTAACTTGTACTCAGCTATCAGGCAATCTCTGATTGTGCGGCAATGGACGTTGAAGCATTGGCCATGCTGAAGCTGCATCGTGGCTGAGTCCATAAACATGGGAATGGAGTTTCTTATTATTCATTCACGGAGTGCGGGCATCGCTAGCTAGGCCAGCACTTATTGTCCACCCCCATTGCCCAGAGGGCAGGTAAGAGAACCTACAGCCTCATGTAGGCCAGACCAGGTAAGGATGGCTGATTTCCTTCCCTAAAGGAAATTAGCGAACCAGATGGGTTTTTACGACAATCAACAGTGGTTACAAGGTCATCAGTGAGCTACTTTATTCCAAATTTCTATGGAATTCAAATATCATACATGACATTTGGACTAGAACCCATGTCCCCAGAACATTAACCTGGGGTTCTAGATTACTCATTCAGTGACATTACCACTACACCACCACTTCCACGTTCAAAAGATTGGGCTGCAAACTCTTCAGAAAATTGTGTGCAAGTTTGGTGCTAGACACCTCCGTGCCCCTTCACAGTCACCACTTTCCAGCAGGAGGCCCATTTCTCACCAATGAATAAATAAGAAAAAAGGCAGCCAATGAACTAAGAATCTCAGTGTGCAGAGATACACCAATAATGTTCTGTACAACAAGTCGTTATAAAGATCTCAGCTGATCCTTGGCACCGTAACCCAATATAGTCTATCTTGTGGTGAGGTTCTATTTGGGCTATATGTTCTCCCTTCCCCGACTACTGGTCTGTTGTGCTCAAAATCTCCATCCCATGTAAAGTATCTGAGCTGGTAGGTGCAAAAGTGGGAATGAATTAACTGCATTTCTTCCTCATCACTGAATTCTAGCTGTAGCACCCCCTCCTGCCTGGCCAAGTTACAGTTCTCAGAGAAGAATAAGCTTGTGGTGAGGGTCTTGTTTCAACTTTGTGCCACTTCTAAATCAGAATAGTTCGTAGAAACAGGATTAAGCATTGATAGTTTCAACATGTGAGGTCATCGAACTTCCAGGATCACACTCAGATCCTTCAGGTTACATTGGTGGCATTAGCTACAATAGTTACCTGATCCCATTTCTTTTTCAGTGTTTGTCTGGAGGACCTTGTGGTCCTCTTTGAAAAGAGGGTCCCTCTCCTCTTACCCACTTCCTACACCAGCTAATGTGTGTTGCAAGAGCCTTGGAGAATGCTCTCTGCCATGCTGTGCCATTTTTCAGTGTTCTTCACACTCAGATATTCTTCCCCCAGAGGCTGACAGCACATGTCCAGTCAATATGCATTTTCCCTTTAAATAGTGTAGGCTGCCTGTATAGAGTAGCTTTAAATAGTGTTAACCTCATACAACTTTATTACCCCCTTCCAGGTGTGCACAGTGCGATTACACATTAAGATTATAGTGATGAGCAGAAAGCTTTATGTTTGTGGCTAAATAGGAAGGAACTGCTGTGGGTTAACTCCACATTGTAATCCCTGTGACTATTTTCAAGCCTTATCAAATTTCTCAGCAAAGCTTTTGTACCAAGTGAAGGAATACATATTAGCCAGGAGACCAGGGAGAACACTCATGCATATTTTTGTTGAAGCAACTGATACAAGTGAACTCTTCTGACTCAAACTCATCCTATAAAGTAGCTACAAATACTATGCATCATTTAACGTAAAACACGCTTTCAATAAAAAATTTTTTTTACATAATACAATTTTGTGTTTTACCGATAGTTGCTCTTTTGTTGGGAAAGATCTTCTCCCAATACATCTATGATTTCCCCAGAAATAGCAAACGTAGGAAATTGTCTGTCAGATATGCAGTTCTACTGACAGAAAGTAACCCCTTTGAATTTAGATTCATTGTAAAACATGAGCTTGTAACCTTGGCCAATTCGTTGTGTGTGGCATTTCTTTATGAATAACAAACAGTCACTCTGGGAATCTTTAACATAATAAGAAAGAATGATGTGAAAAGTAAACCAAACCTTTTCAGAGTCACCCATGGTTCTGTGTAAATCTGAAAGACATTCAGACCTCAGCAGCAAATTCAGCCTGTTTTACCATCTGCATAGGCAGACAGTCCAAACTAATCGCAAAGGCAATTTATTCATTTTTTTCCCAGGCTACTCAAACATTTTCCAGGCTATTATTTGTGACTATAGGCCCGTTTACACTGAGAAGGGCCTGCCAGCATGAAAGCTCTATTAACACTCTACAGAAAATGCTTCCATCTACAAATGTCTTTTGAATTGCTAATTCTGGCATAAACACATATAAAAAGCACATTTGCTTAGAGTAGTCAGAAGGTAGCTTTGAGGCATAGCAAATAATTACTTGCAGTAAAACTATTTTGCATGTCCCACAAATCCAAACAATGGCTCAGAGTACTGCACCTTTACCTCCTGTATTGATGCCTAATATGGGTGTAGTGATTATACAGGCACAGGATGATCCAAAGATAGGAGAGTTTAACAATTCAAAGCAGGAAAGAGATTTACAGCATGCAATAGTCACTTTGGAATAAGATATATTTTGATGGTTTACACTTGGACGTCTGCTCTATGTATGCTGCTGAGCTCCATGGCATAAAGCTGCAAATTTGAGATCAATTAAATGTTAATGAAAAATATAATCCATCAGATTAACATTGAGTATATCTTCTTTCCAGAGATCTACACAATCTGCGTGTAGGTCTAGAAAAACATTCATAGTTTTGTTCCAGATTTGGTGGCCTCTAATGTGGCTGGAGTAATCACTTTGTTTGCTGGTTTTGAATGGGCTTCAAAGTCATCAGAGATGTTCCACTAGTCTTGGTGATGCACTTGTCAGTGGCTTGTGCCAAATCATGCCCAATGCTTTGTGAGATAACAAGGTGTACAGCTGGATGAACACAGCAGGCCAAGCAGCATCATAGGAGCAGGAAGGCTGATGTTTCGGGCCCAGACCCTCCAATGCTTTGTGGTTAGTTTTCACAGTGATCCATTAATCAAATTGGTGCCTATGAAATCTTGTGATATCAAATACCAGAGCAAGTATCTTATGTTTGACTAATTGGATTGCACATGCAATAGCTGAGGACTGCAACAGACTTCTGGAGCACAATACATGTGGTTTACCATCTTTCAGAAAGCACAGTTCAAACTCTTTTCAAGACATGCAGCCTTGAAGGCCTCCTTAATTGGGCTATACTAATGTAAATGTGTAGCTCTTCTGACAATGCCTTTTTAAGTGATTCGAACACGTTCAAGGTCCTCCTGCCAGTACAGTATCCTTGAATTAGTCATTTCTTGAGATCCTCTGTCAGATGAACCGACTGATAGCCATGTCTGGTGTACAACCTGGAAAAAAGCTTCGCTCCTGTGAAGTTGGAAATGAGTTCTCCTGGTGTGGAATCTTGTGTGGGCAATGCTTTAGAGCAAGATTTAGACATCTTGGGTCTAAGCATTCCCAAATTGTTCCGTCTTTCAGTATGCTTATGATAGAAATGCAACCAGTCAGAACGTCGATACACACAATGGAGGTTGCAGGTTTGAAAGATGCTGTGGGAGAACCATTCACAAATTGCTGTAATGAATTCAAAAAATGGTATATATCATGTGGGCTACATTGCCCTGAAATGTATCTAGCTTCTTGAGGGTGAACGGAGCAGCTTTCACTTATGCAGGTGAAAAGTATTCCATTATCAAAGGAGGAATTTTTTCTCTAGGAAGATAGTGAATCTGTAGAA